GTGCTGGGGACTGTGACAGTGGTGCTGGGGACAGGGACAGTGGCACTGGGGACAGGGACAGTGGCACTGGGGACGGGGACAGAGGTGCTGGGGACAGGGACAGAGGTGCTGGGGACAGGGACAGTGGCACTGGGGACGGGGACAGAGGTGCTGGGGACGGGGACAGAGGTGCTGGGGATGGGGACAGAGGTGCTGGGGATGGGGACAGTGGCACTGGGGACAGGGACAGTGGTGCTGGGGACGGGGACTGTGGCACTGGGGACGGGGACTGTGGCACTGGGGACGGGGACAGAGGTGCTGGGGACAGGGACAGTGGCGCTGGGGACGGGGACAGTGGTGCTGGGGACGGGGACAGAGGTGCTGGGGACGGGGACAGTGGCGCTGCTCCTGCTCCTGGTGCTGGGCTTGATTCTGTTCGTGATCCTGCCCTGATTGTCTCCCTGTCCCCATCCCTGTCCCTGTCCCTGTCCCATCCATGTCCCCTCTGTCCCGTCCCTGTCCCTGTCCCATCCCTGTCCCTTCCCTGTCCCATCCCTGTCCCTGTCCCCTCCCTGTCCCGTCCCTGTCCCCACAGGAGTTCGTGCTCAGCGTTCAGGAGCTGCCGCGCGTCCTTCGCTTCCTGCCCAAAATCATCCTGGCCGTCATTGTCACCGCCTGTGACGAGCTCTACAAGAAAGTGGCCTTGTGGCTCAATGACATGGGTGCGTTGGGGACCCTGGGGTGGCCCCGGGGTGGCCCTGGGACCCCCCGAGCCCCCCTGACCCCGCCCGTGCCCTGCAGAGAATTATCGGCTGCAGAGCGCCTACGAGAAACACCTGATCATCAAAATCGTCCTGGTGAGGGGACAGGGGACAGGGGACACGGGGGGGACTGGGGGGACTGGGGACATGGGGGACACTGGGGGGTCTGGGGGGACTGGGGACACAGGGGGCACTGGGGGGACAGGTGACATGGGGGACACTGGGGGACTGGAGAGGTCCTGGCAGCTCTTGCTGAGGGGACACTGGGGGGGACTGGAGGGGTCCCAGTGGCTCTCGGTGAGGGACAGAGGGGACCAGAAAGGTCCAGGAGGGACAGAGGGGACCCGAGGGGTCTTGGCAGCTGCAGAGGTGACAGATGGGGCTGGAGCTGTCACAGAGGGGACGCCGAGGTGACACCGAGGTGACTCCGAGGTGACCGAGCTGCCACCCCCCTGTCACCACCAGTTCCAGTTCGTCAATTCCTACCTGAGCCTTTTCTACATCGGATTCTACCTCAAGGACATGGAGCGCCTCAAGGAGGTGAGGGGACCCTGCCGGGGTGGCCGGTGTCCCCAGAGTGTCCCCAGCACCCCTCCACCACCACCACCACCACCACCGCATCCCCCGGTGTCCCCACGCGTGTCCCCGCCGAGGCGCGGCTCAGGCGCCCAGCACGGCTCACGGCCACATCTCTGTGTCCCTGTGGTGTCCCCGTGGTGTCCCTGGTGTCCCTGTGGTGTCCCTGGTGTCCCTGTGGTGTTCCTGGTGTCCCTGTGGTGTCCGTGGTGTCCCCGTGGTGTCCCTGGTGTTGGTGTCCCTTGTGTCCCTGGTGTCCCTGGTGTCCCTGTGGTGTCCCCGTGGTGTCCCTGGTGTCCCTGGTGTTGGTGTCCCTGGTGTCCGTGGTGTCCCCGTGGTGTTCCTGGTGTCCCCGTGGTGTCCCCGTGGTGTTCCTGGTGTCCCTGTGGTGTCCTTGGTGTCCCTGGTGTCCCTGTGGTGTCCCCGTGGTGTCCCTGGTGTTGGTGTCCCTGGTGTCCCTGGTGTCCCCGTGGTGTCCCCGTGGTGTTCCTGGTGTCCCTGTGGTGTCCCTGGTGTCCCTGGTGTCCCCGTGGTGTCCCTGGTGTTGGTGTCCCTTGTGTCCCTGGTGTCCCTGGTGTCCGTGGTGTCCCCGTGGTGTCCCTGTGGTGTCCCTGGTGTTGGTGTCCCTGTGGTGTCCCTGGTGTCCCTGGTGTCCGTGGTGTCCCTGGTGTTGGTGTCCCTTGTGTCCCTTCCGCAGCTCCTGCTCATCCTGTCCCTGTCGCAGAGCCTCGCGCGGCAGCTCCGGGAGGCTCTGCTCCCCTCCATCCTCCTCCACCTCCACCTCTCCCTCATCTTCCTCAGGCGCCTCCTGCGCCTTTGCTGGACCCTGGCACTATCCAAAGTAGGAGCGCGGGGACACCGGGGGACAGCCGGGGACAGACAGGGGACAGCAGGGGACAGACAGGGGACAGCTGGGGACAGACAGGGGACAGCCCAGGGACAGCTGGGGGACAGCAGGGGACAGACAGGGGGACAGCTGGGGACAGCAGGGGACAGTCGGGGACAGACAGGGGACAGACAGGGGACAGCCGGGGGACAGCAGGGGACAGTCGGGGACAGC